AATGTAGGCTGCTACGTCCACAGCTGCCTGCTCCTGGGCTGGTAACTGCAACCTTGCAAAAGGCTCAAATTCACCAAAATTTACCAGCTTCTTCACGGAGTTCTCCCACGGGCTGAACCTCTTCTACTGAGCTCCAGAGTTCCAAAATAGTAACTTGAGACAGTTCCTGCCAGTTTGATCGTTGTATAGGTGGAGGTACAAATTCTTAGTTTCCTACGCTGCCATCTTCCTTGACATCACTCTCTACATTTTGTTTTGCTTATTTGATTTAACTCCCAGAGGGTAAACCTATTTCTTTCTAACTTTCGGGATGGCACTTCAATTTTGTTTCCATCTCTAGCACCTATTCTGTCTTCCAACCATAGCAGAGCCCCTGGCCAGATTCTCTCATTTGTCCTCTATGTCCAAGGCAGAGGCCAAACCAGAGCTGTCTTATAGTTCTGAGAAGACAGCTCCTAAGAGGGCTCTTCTCTTTTTCCTGCCCAGTCTTGTAACAGAAAAGCTGAAATATCAGGAAAAGTCATGCACATATGGGGATATTACTTGTCTCACTTTTTCTTCCTCCCTCCCTCCTTTTCCTTTTTTATTCTTTATTTCTCACATATTTTTTGAGCAACCACTATGTGCCAGCTCTTTGATGGATGCTGGGGAGATGGTGTTCAAAGAACTATAGGTCCTTGTTCTTAATGAGCTATTAGTTGAGTGAGAGAGGCAAATGAAAAATTCCAGTATACTTGGTGAGATTTGAAAGAGGTGGAAAAAAGATGCTGAGGGAGCTGAGAGAGGGAATGCCTAAATGACTTTGAGAGAAAAGCAGGGAGAAAAATTGGAAACTTCACAAATGAAGTAGGACTTGAAGAAGATAGCCAGGTGGGAACATCTTCCAGAGCACGAGCAAGTCCAAATACTTGGAGAGTGAGAACATGGCCAGCGGGGGTGCTAGCAAGTAATTTTGGTGTAAGGTGTGTGGGGGAGGTTTAGGAGATGAGGCCAGAGAAGTAGGTGGGGGGGGGGGCAAGATCATGTAGGAGTTGCATTTTGTTTTGTAGTGACTGTAGTGTCATAGGATTGTCAGTAGTGGTGACATGATCAGATTTGTTTTAGAAAAATTAATCTGGTGTGAGGCACCTGGGTGGCTCAGTTGATTTTGGCTCAGGTCATGATCTAAGGGTCATGAGACTGAGCCCCATGATGGGCTCTGCACTCAGTGTGGCGTCTGCTGGAGATTCCCTCTCTCCCTCTCCTTCTCTCCCTCTCCGTCTCTCCCTCCCTCTGCTCATTCACTCTCTCTCATTCTCTCTCTAAAATAAATAAATCTTAAAAAAAAATTAAATCTGGTCAAAGAAGTTAACAACAGTAATTTAACACATAATGAAGATTTGCTCCCATGCATTTTATGTATGTCTCATTTAATCCTCATAACACACTATTACATTGGAATTACAATCATTCCCACTTTTTAGATGAGCAACTGGGCACATAAAAGTTAAGTACCTTGCCAAAGATTAGGAAATTGTCAAGTGATGGAACTGAGATTGAATCCAGGTAGTCTAACACCAGCGTGGATGCTGAATCACTGTGCTTTTATTGGGGGCCAGGCCTGGAGGGTACCAGGATTCTGTTGTGGTGATCTAAGTAATAACTAACCACTCAGGGCCTGAACTAAGGCAGTGGCAATGGGGCTGGAAGGTGGAGAACAAGTTTGGGAGATTTTGAGGAAGTAGAATTGACAGGACTTCGTTCAATATGGAGGAATAAGGGAGTATAAGATTCTAGGACAACTGCTTGGTTCCCGCTTTGGTCTATTGAGAGACACTCACTGAAACAGAGGGATACGTGTGAAGAAGCAAGGTTTGGGAAAAGGGGGAGATGATCAGGTCAGTTTTGGACATGTTGAGTCGGACCAACAAAATGGGAGACATCCAGAAGGTAACTGGGCCAGAAATTCAGGGGAGGGAACAGAAGCCAGAGGTGAGAATGAAATCTCCTAAGGGAGTGGACAAGGAGAAAAGGGGTGGAGGCAGGGCTCAGGATAGGATAACTGCCACCCTCCCTGCTTTCAAGATAAGCAGAGAAGTACAAGCTAACCACCAAAATATCAGGAGACTCAATGATCATTTATTCCATAAAATCAGAGAAAAGGAAAGGACCAAAGATTCAGTTCAGATTAGAAAGTGCAGCTGCTTTCAAGGTGACTGTCTCCACACTGCTAAGAGGAGACACTATCAAACCTAGTTTGCTTATTTGATACAAATATTTTATCCATATCCTTTTCAAATGGGATCAAGTTGTTTGCAGCAATCATACGATAATGATGAAAATGAATTATTCATTTTTTGGTTGTAGAACATCTCCTTTTGTCTTGGAAAATTGAAAATTTTCTCAGTCCCTGAAAACTCCTGTTTTAAGAAAGTCTACTCCTCTGTTCTCTAACACTGCTTTATTATTAAAAAATCTTAATTTATGAGGATATATTTAAAAAGTTTTCTGGTTAGGGGCGCCCAGGTGGCTCAGTCAGTTAAACTTCAGCTTTGGACTCAGGTCATGATCCTGGAGTCTGGGATGGAGCCCCATGTCAGGTTCTGTGCTCAGTGGGGAGTCGGCTTCTCCTTCTGTCCGTCCCCCTGCTCATGCTCTCTCTCTCAAATAAATGAATAAAATCTTAAAAAAAGTTTCCTTGTTAGTTTTCAGTCTCTACCTTTAGACTATAAGTTCCATGACAACAGTGACCATTTGTCTTAATTCACCATTTTATGTTTGGCAACCCGGCAGGTTCTTGTTTGTGTACTTACTGACGGACGTTAAAAGCCTTCCTTCCCGGGGCACCTGCGTGGCTCAGTCGTTAAGCATCTGCCTTCAGCTCAGGTCATGATCCAGGGTCCTGGGATCGAGCCCCATGTCGGGCTCCCTGCTCCGCGGGAAGCCTGCTTCTCCCTCTCCCACTCCCCCTGCTTGTGTTCCCTCTCTCGCTGTGTCTCTGTCAAATAAATAAATAAAATCTTAAAAAAAAAAAAAAGGCCTTCCTTCCCTATTTCTCTTCCACTCCTTCTCTGTCCCATTCTCCTCTTCCTTCCTTTATACAAATATTTGTTGGATGCCTTCTATAAGCCAGGTACTCAGCTAGATTTAAAATATTAAAATTATATATATAACTATATATATAATTTTAAATATATATATATAAACAGAATGGGGTTAGATATGAGAACTTTTTTTTTTTTTAAGATTATTTATTTATTTAAGAGAGAGAGAGAAAGCAGAAGCAGGGGGAGCAGCAGCAGGAGAGGGAGAAGCAGGCTTCCCGCGGAGCAGGGAGCCTGATGCAGGGCTCAATCCCGGGACACTGGGATCATGACTTGAGCTGAAGGCAGACGCTTAACTGACTGAGCCACCCAGGTTCCCCTATATATATTATTTTTTAACATATATTTTATATAAAATTTTATAAATTACATAAATTTTATATTTTAATATATTTATTATAAAAATATATACATTTTATATAAAAAAATAAAGATGACTAAGGCACTGTTCCTAATCCTGATTTAACAGTTTAGTAGAGACATACTTGACATGTAGACAGCAAGTGGATTTCTAAAACTTTGCCACAACGACAGGAGAGCAAAAATCATTGCCATCAGGAGAAGCTGGTGTGTGTAAAGGCTTGGAGGTAGGGAAACATGAAAATGAAAAGCATGGGTGTAAGTGGGGAAAGGCTAGAGGTTTTATGGGGCTGGAGCATAGTATTCATTGGATGCTGAGAAAAGTGGGCAGAGGGAGTCAGTGCCAGGTAGAAGCTGGAAAAATTGAGACTGTGAAAACACCAGAAACTATCCTAGGTTTTGACTTTTATACCCCTAATATTTACCCATAAGGACAACTGGGCAGTCAGGTAGGAGAGTCAGATAGTATTTTAATGGCTAAGAGGAAATGATGGGAGGATGTACATCCTCTATTTGCACTGCTTATCTTTTCTCTTGGTTTGGTTTTACAATAAAGAAATACAAAAATTAGTTATTCCTAAAATAGTGAGTTAGAATAAGTTTATGTTTCCTAATCAGCACCAAAATAAATGTTTTTTTTAATAATAATTGGACAAAAGCTTTTACCACTTGTCATTCTCAAGCATTATTCAAACAGGAGTTTTCCATGTAGCAGCTGTAAGGGAGAGGTTCCTCTTATCCCATTAATCAATTGATTATCAGTGTTAAGCTCATTGATTCTTAATTCATTCAATAGGTTATGATCCCTTACTGACATTAATTACTTTGTTACTCATATTGTATCATATTTGGCCAGGGAGGGCCCCTTCAAGTGGCTCTTGCCCTTTTGGTATGTCCTCATTGTTTTTTGACTACTTCACTTCCAGGTTCATCTTGTACCTTTCCTGCTCCAGTCTCAGAGTCAGCCATTTAATCAGGGAATGCAATGTTTTTTAAATATTTGCAATATTCTTGTTTGAGAAGCATATTTTTAAAAAATAATTTTCACTTACTGTGTTAAAAAATGCCATTTTATTAATAACAGCATTTTATATTTAATGCCAATTAATTTTAGTGCCATTTTAAACATTCACCCACAACCCAATACATCCCATGAGACCCTGATCTTGTGATCAAGATTCCCCAATCACACTAGTTTTTTTGCCTTTTTTTTTTTTTAAAGTAGGCTCCATGCTCATTGTGGATCCCAACATGGGGTTTGAACTCATGGCCCTGAGATCAAGACCTGAGCTGAGATCAAGAGTCAGACATTCAACCAACTGAGCTACTCTGGTGCCCCACTAGTTTTTTTATTTTTTTATTTTTAAGTACTCTCTACACCCAGTGTGGGGCTCAAACCCACAACCCCAAGATCAAGAGTTGCACACTCCATGGACTGAGCCAGCCAGGCACCCCACCAATTACACTAGTTTATAAGAACATAAACCAGTAAGTTGTCAATACTAACGAGAGAATTTACATTTATAAAAAAAGCTTTAAAAAACACATGTAATGTAATTTTGTATCTGTGTAAATACTTTATTCTGTTTCTACATAGGATATTGAAATTTACACATTATTTTTAAGACAACTAATATACAGCTAACTGAAATAAAATACACAAGAAGCTTATGAGTTATGAGATACAGATGAGAAAACCTGAGAAGTTTTTAATTTAATTTGCTCTACTGGGAACATTAGGACTCCTGGACTTGATATTGGCCTTGTATATCAAATACTTTTTTCTGTAAGTACTAGCTGACACCCTTCCAAAGAGCACGTTGTACTACTGTGTCTAAGAAATCAGTGAATAACTAGGTTTTCCATCTTATCAAAGTACAAAGCATTACTTCAATTCTAGGCCCTCTGACAGAATGTATCTACTTTTACTAAGTTCTTTAATGAAATTTTATTAAGAAATTATTGATTCAGAAGGTAAATACAAGGCATCTTTATATTACAAAGAAAATCAAGAAGACAAAAATCTAGTATTTTAAACAAATTCCAAATTCTGACATTTGGAGCAGTATTGATTCTCAGATTATCTTTTTCTAAAAGAGATTTCTTCCAGCTTGTTTCCAGACTTCTTTTACTCCTTTAATGCTTTCTCTTTTCACACATTTCCAGTATTCCTGTACACTTTGTTGTTGTGGTACCTGTTAACCAAAAGTAAAAGTAAAGAGATCATTCTCTTCAAGATTAAACACGATTTCATGTGAGCTCTGTTATTATTCCCCACACACCTCCAAAAAGTACATGAGATGGATTGTGTTGTAAAAGATAACTGCAACAGAATTGTAAGTAAGACAGGATAAAAGACAAAAAAGTGAACGTGATGTAAGAATATCCTTGGGGTAACTAGGGAATGGAAGCTAAGTATACGTGATTAGAGCTTCCTCCCTAAGAAGATAATGAAGACTTTGGGTGATCTTGTTCACATATTGGTTTAAAATGTGATTATTTCATAATGCTTTATAATATTTTATAATGTTTCCCTTTTAACGGTGAACTTTATTTAGCTAAGTGGGATAAAAATTATAAGCCTAAAACTTTGATTTAACCTTGCCGAAGTTAAAAAAATGAAAACAATACATTTGATAAGAACCCTTAAGAAGAAATAATATAATTCACCTAAGTGCTCTATGAATTAAAAGGTTCTGTATGGGTCTTCTCAGTTAAACAACAAAGTAAAGGTTAGAAAATATTTGTATCCTGGTGACCACAGGAGCACAGCATTGCTGGAAATCTGCCAAAAGGAAGCAAAAGTTGCTGATCGATTTACAGGTCTTCTATTTAATGTCTCTTGAGAAATGGCAAAGAAGCTCCTTAGTATATTAAACTGTTAACTGCAAAGGCTGGTTTAATTTCCAGGGATATGACTGTTAACTATGAGGTACTGGGTACTACTACAAAGCTTGTAAAACATATTTGCTAATAGAAATCATATTTATTCATTTTCCATAAATGTTTGTAGCAGGAAAACGAACATGCTTTTCTGAGTTGTAAATAAATAGATTTGTTTATGAACCTACCATATCCTCTCCCTCATTCTCTCTCCTCTCTTATGGCCTAACTACCTGCTTATCACATAGTTCTCTTTCCACCCATGTTTTCAACCTGAAGACTTTAAACAAAATTGTGAGTTTTATTTGTCCCACAGACCAATATGTGAATTTGAATGCAGTGATAATGGCTAACGTTTACTTCAAGTGTCTCAGACACTATACTAAATATTCTACACTTAATTCTTAAAAATTTTTTTTCCAGTAGATTCTATTAGTTTCCTCATTGTACACAGATGAGGAATGTGAGGCTCTGAAAAATTAAGTGGCTTTGCAAGATTAGGAAGTTAGTAAGTGACAGAGTTGGGATTTGAATTTAGGTGTGTCTTAACTACAGAGCCCAAGGCAAAATTCTAGGCTATGATTTCTGAATAGATTCAGATAAAAAATAAAGGCAAAGAAAAATACTGGATTCCATCTGTAGGAGGTATCTCGGTGTTGTGATCATAGCTTATAATCTCTTTATAAATGATAAAGCCTCCATTTAAGACTATAGATTTGTCCAAATTCTAGGTGTAAAATATCATTCATTCAATTACATGTAAACATGTAATTATTTAAAAACTCAAAATCTTTACCCATAAACCTCGATGCATCCTGTTTTTTAAAACCCCGAGAAACTCTCCATGACTAAGACATTCATCACCATCCACATCAAAGATCTTGAAGACGGTGTCCAAAATATTGTTTGAGAGCTCCTGTCCTGTTGCTACTTTCACGGCCCTTTTAAACTCCGCTGAAATAAAACATAAAAGAACTCATCAACCATAGCTGATGGTGAAATAGTGAAATAGTCTAAGTGGAATTCATCTAAATTTTATTATTTGAGAAGCAAAAACAAATCTAAATGTTCATTAATGGGAAGTAAAACAAAACCAAAAATACTCATTAAGAGCATATCGAAATAATAAATTTGGCTGAGAAATGTCATGAAAGTAATTGAAAGAGAAGCAGGCTATTTTAATTTAACCAATATTTTAAAGAAGGTATTTAAATATTCTCTTTTCCTTCTTAGGGGAAAAATAAGGAAAGTAAAAGCAAATAAAGTAATTGTTAAATGTGAGAGTCAATGCTTTAAGTCTAGAGTAACCACAATGAATTAAAAGGCCAATCAACTGTTTTACTGATAACTGGCCCCTTGATCAGTATGTTCTAGTTGAAGAATAGAGTGACACTGTTTATAGATGATAAAAATTAAGTCATAAAACTTACCCAGTCTGACAGGACGATGAGCTAAACTGAACATTTGCATAGCAATAGCAAAGTCTTCCAAGTGGGTCGTAAAATGACAAAATGACTTGAACTCATCCAAACTAATGCTCTAATAAAATAACAGAAGTGAATTTTAATTACAATTTTGTAAATACATTAAAAATCTTAGAATATAAGCATAAGTCCTGTTTCTTTCATAAACCTTCTAAACTTTTATAGCTTTCTAAGAAAGTCTTATTAAAGAGAATGGGCATGGCCACAGTGTATGGTTGTGTAGACTGCTCACTGGGTGAAAGGGGTCTCCTGGAGTAGGCCAGACCTGGGGTGGCCCTGTGGTACAGACTGGATTCTGTCTTCTCAAAATGCATAGGTTGAAACCCTAACGCCCAACATGACTGTATTTGGAGACAGGGCTGTTAGGAAGGCAATGAAGGCTAAATGAAGTCATAAGGGTAGGACCCTAATCTGATAGGACTAGTATCCTGATAAAATGACGAAGAGACACCAGGGCTCTCTGACTCTGTGTGTTATGCACAGAGGACAGGCCATGTGAGGACACAGTGAGAAGTATGCAAACTGGGAGGAGAGACTTCACCAAAACCAACTTGCCAGCACCTTGATCTTAGACTTCCAGGTTCCAGATGTGAGAAAACAAATTTGTTGTTTAAGCCATCCAGCCTGTGGTATTTTGTTATGGCAGCCTAAGGAAACTAATACATCCTGTTAAGTGGTCTGCCTCCTTGTTTTTCTGCTTTATCAATGGACACAGCACTGAGTAAGAGCACTGGGTTTTGGAGTTAGAGGAACCTATGTTGAAACTTCAGTTCTGCCATTTACTATGTGCATGGTCTTAGCCTCTCTAAGCCTAAGGTAAGTAACCTTTCATGAATTAAGTAATTTGTTCAGGTCTACTAAATGGTACATGGGGATTTGAACCTTGGTTTACCTGACTTTAAAACCTATACACATAAAAACAAAACAAAAAATAAGTTAGAAAAACTAGTTTTTCCATTGAAAAAGTAAACAAAGTAAGAAAATTCTTTTTTTAAAAAATTTATTTATTTGTTAGAGAGAGAGGGAGAAGCAGGCTCCCCGCTGAGCAAGGAGCCCGATGTGGGACTTGATCCCAGGACCCTGGGATCATGACCTGAGCCGAAGGCAGATGCTTAACCGACTGAGCCACCTAGGTGTCCCAAGTATGAAAATTCTTAATTTGAAAATAAATTCTTCTCTTCCTGAAAAAGTTTCTCTTTGTAGGGACCTTCAGGATCATGTCCTCTGCTTATGTGTGGTCTTATTCAAGTTTTACTGCTTTTAGCCTTTGTGAATTTATGGAATTTTTACTTTTAAAATTTTAACTAAGTTTTTGAAGAGGTAACATATACACATGGTAAAAAAAATTCTAACCATATTATGCATAAAAAATAAAGACTTCTCTCTTCCTTCAACCTCCAGTTCTCTTCCCCATAGGTAAAGCACTGTTACCAATTCTTTGTGTACCCTTCCAGAAATATTCTACTCATATAAAAGAACACACACACACCCCTGTTTTACACAGTGGGAACATCCTCTTCACACATTTCTACACCTTGTTTTATACTTTTTTTTTTTAAAGATTTATTTATTTGAGAGAGAGAGAGAGTGTGTGTGTGTGTGAGTGGGGGCAGAGACAGAGAAGGAGAAACTCCTCAAGCAGACTCCCCACTGAGTACAGAGCCTGAAGCAGGGCTTGATCCCAGGACCCTGAGATCATGACCTGAACTGAAATCAAGAGTCAGACGCTTAACCAACTAAGCCACCCAGGCAACCCCCCTTGCTTTATACTTTTAACAATAGATCTTATTAGCACAAATAAGAATGGCCATTTCTCTGCGTCATAAGCCATCACTGGGTGCAACCTTTCTGATTTTTCTTTTACTGATAAGTGAAAAATGGTACACCATTAATGTTTCAATCTGTATGTCTTGAATTGTGACTGATGTGAAACACTTTCAGTTTTATGTTCTTATTAATCATTTGTGGCTTTCTCTTCTTGTGTCTTTTTTATGTCCTTTGCCCAGATTTTTAATGTTATGTGACTTATTGCTAGGAAACAAGTGTCCATGGGCCTCTCATGTTTCTGCACATCTTTCAAACAAAGGCTCCAACCACCTTTTTATTCCACACTATCTTCCCAAGGATGTTTGTATAGTGAACAGCCTCGAATATTGACAATGTCTCCTTTGGAAGCAGAGGACAGTTTTGCTTACTGCCCATTATAAAAGATTCAGATTCCTGAAAATGAGCTTTCTCGGCTATGTGCATGGGCAGCATCCACAAGGGCCCCTCAACATGGTCCCCGCAGGACTTGGGAGGTGAGGAGGAACTGACCAAACATGATGTTCATACTGTTGCTATGCTATGAATAATAAAGTTTTTTTGTCTCTGACCCAAGCACGTGTCTTTTGTCAGCATCCATGAAATGGTACAGGCTAACTTCCAAATAGATAAAACCTCAGATACTTTACTGTTTATTAACACAGTGATTTTTAGGATCCCATTATATATTAAATAGGGCAAAATGTAAGACCCTTCAAAGTTCTTGATTTTTAAAAATTTTTTTGAGGGGGAAGGGGCAAAGAGAGAGGGACAGAAAAAACCCCAAGCAGGCTCCATACCCAGTGCAGAGCCCAATGTGGGGCTCTATCTCATGACCCTGAGATCATGACCTGAGCTGAAATCAAGAGTCAGACACTTAAATGACTGAGCCACCCAGGTGCTCCCCAAATTCTTGATTTTAAAGATCTCATTATAAATTAAAGAAATGGGCCTACTACATGTGATGCCAATATTCCTCCCCTCCCCATTTCGTTATTTTTTTTCTTTTGACTTTGATTATAATTTTGGGAGGAGATGAGGGGAAGCAACAGAATTTTAACTTTTAGGTAGCAATTTCATCAAGTTTTCCTTGAAAGCTTCTGAGCTTTGCCTAGAAAGATATGTATACCCCACTCTAAGATGATTGTTTCCAAGGTTTCTTCTAAATACACTCAGTTTCGGGGCGCCTGGGTGGCTCAGATGGTTAAGTGTCTGCTTTCTGCTCAGGTCATGATCCCAGGGTCCTGGGATCGAGCCCCACATTGGGCTCCTGGCTCAGCAGGGAGCCTCCTTCTCTGCCTCTGCCCCTGCTCATCTCTCTCTATCTCTGTGTCTCAAATGAATAAATAAAATCTTAAAAAAACAAAAACACACCCAGTTTCACTTTTCTCTCTCTTTTTTCTAAGATTTTATTTATTTATTTTTGAGAGAGAAAGAGAGAGCATGAGCAGGGGAAGAGAGGCAGAGAAAAAAGGACAAAAAGACTCCCCGTTGAGCAGGGAGCCTGATGTGGGGCTCGATCCTAGGACCCTGAGCTCATGACCTGAGCCGAAGGCAGATGCCTAACCGACTGAGCCACCCAGGTGCCCCATTTTTCCCTTTAACATTTAATTCTTAGGTCCATTTGGAATTTTAGAGTAATGAGTGAGGCAGAGATTTACCTTCATTTTCTCTCTCACATGGCCAGTGAATTAACCTAATGCCACTTTATCTTGGCATTCTTTTTTTAAAGACTTAATTTTTTTAAAGCAGTTTCAGGTTCACAGCAAAACTGAGGGGAAGGTACAGAGATTTCCCATATAGCTCTTGTCCCCTCAGCATTCTTTTCATATAAACTTTTATGGTTTGTCTAGGTCACTTGTAAGAATCCAATAGCATTTTTATTGGAACCCATTCGTGTTCACCAATATCTGGTTCTCTTTTGATTCCTGCATATAGGAAAGATTACACCTTTTTGCCTCTTTGCAGTTACATGGGGGTCATGTAATTAGTCTGGCCAATAACCAAGTGTGATGTTTTTGGCCAAAACATTTAATTGCTAGAATGTACTCACTCCTTTATTTTCCTGACACAGCCTCTGCAGATGATGTTTTTTCCAGAGGTAAAGCTCCAAGATGGCAGAGCTTGGAGAGTCTGGGTCCCTGAGCAACTGTATGCATAGCTTCACACCATGATTGAGAAAGGAATCTTTCTTGTGTTAGCCATGGGGATTTCAGGGTTAATTTGTAACTGCAACCGAGGCTGTTCTAATATAACCATTACATTTATAGATGAATCTAAGGGAGAACTGCTACATTTATAATACTAAGATTTCCCATTCATAGGAGATGTCACTATATAATTAGATAACTTTTATATCTATCAAGACCTTAAAGGTTTTCTTCATATATTTGACGTTAAATTTATTTCTAATTGTTACATGTTTCTATTGTAATTATAAATGGGATCTTCATTACATTTTATTATCTTTTTCCTCACTATAGAAATAGCTTTAAAAAAATTATATAAAAATACATGTCTACTCCAAAAACATGTATTGGAACAATGAAGTAAAAGCAATACATAAAGTAAAAAGTCACAAAAAAATCTCACAACAGTGTATTAATCATTATTAGTAGTTTGGCAATCATTTCTTCATATACATACACACACTAGTCCCAATACATTTTCTAATTTGCAATTTGTACACAGGACAGTTATTGCTAATATATTAGCATTGTAACAGGCACTTTATTGAATTTTTACTGTTTCTAAATGCTTTTCAATTTGAGTCTCTTGGGTTTTCTAGATATATAATTACATCTATGCAAACAAAGACAACTGTGACTCCTTTCAAATGTTTATATTCTTTAATCCTATTAATTTGCACTGGCTAAGATTTCCAGAACAATAGTAAGTAATAGTGGTGACAGTGAACATTCTTATTCCCGATTTTACTGGAAATGCAAAACTCATATTGCTATACTGATTGTATCTTAGGCAATAATTCATTCATATGAAAACAGTATGTAAAGAACATTTCTCACCTTGATTTTATACTTAAATAATAGAGAGTAACATGGTTTTTGTTAATTTTTAAGTTACTTTATTTAATTACGTAAATATTTCTTTTTTATTTATTTAATTTTTTAAAAGATTTTATTTATTTATTTGATAGAGACACAGCAAGAGAGGGAACACAATCAGGGGGAGTGGGAGAGGGAGAAGCAGGCTTCCCACTGAGCAGGGAGCCTGATGCAGGACTCGATCCCAGGACCCTGGGATTATAACCTGAGCAGATGCTTAACAACTGAGCCACCCAGGTGTCCCTAATTAGGTAAATATTTCTAACATTATTTCATCTTTACCAGAAGCATAATAAAAAGGTATACCAACCTCTCCTGCTGACAACTTCTCTCTTACATTTTTCCAATAGATGTCTTTATTTTCAGTGTTAGTGAAGAAAAGTAGCCACTCTGCAAAGTCTTCTTTTCTCATGAAACTCAAACCTTTAGAAAACTGAAGGAATTCCATTTCTTGGACCTCTGTTTGTAAATTCTCCATAAATCTAAATGTTAAAATATAAAATTGATGTAAGGAACTAGTAGCATTCAACCTTAGTATTGTAAATAGGATCGCAAAGCACCTTCAGCAAAACCTACTGAGTGGCTGGCCTCTTGAAATGTTGAGTCAAACAAAGTATTAGTGCTGTGCAAGGAGTGGGGGAGTGGAGGATGCAGAGAAGCTGATTAAGTCCAATACTGTCACTCTGTCACTCCCTATACTCAATTTGTGCAAATTATACTTGGCAACATACATTCTGACAAAGATTTACAAAACTATGTAAAATGTTGCTCTGATGTATCTATAACAATTTTTTTCCAACATAGAAAAATTATCCATAATCAGAGAAACTTAACATTCAGTTGGGCTACTGTTTTTAGAATGTTAATCATAATTAATGGTTCTTAATATTTTTCAGATACCAAAGTTGATTAATGTAGTCAATGGCTTTGTATCAAAATCTTAGATTTACCTAAAAGTATTTATAATCATTTGGACAAGAACATATGAATAAATGACTCAACATTCTTTTAAAAATAAAAACACAGCAGTCTGATCAAACGGTCACCAACAGCTCCCTGAGAAAAGTACAGGTTAAAAGGATATCAGATTAAAAAAAACTTCTTTGAACAAGAACTCAGAAATGCTGCACTTGATTTATTTATATCCTAAATCATGTGAAAAGTATTATCTCCATGTGTTTTAACATGTTGCAGACAGTTTTATTCACCTTTCTACATGTTAAAAATCTGTCATGTCACAATTTAATGGAATTATACGTGGGTGAAAAATCTACTGCAGTTCAGTGGGAGAAAAACTGCCAGTGTTCAAAAACTACTCGCTTTCGGCTCTACATTTAGCCCATAAACCTTAAAAGCATGAAGGGGCAGTTTTGATTTTAGGCTTCTATCTGTGTGATAGGTAAGAGTTTGTTACCTACAACATTTTCTGAATGTACGAGGATATACAGATTTATCAAAGCCATGTGTCTTTCTGGGTCAAGGCAGAGGTTTGTCTAAAATATGAAGCATTTCCAGTTTGGGCTGAGAGATCGATGAAACCTTTTACTGATATGCCTTGTCCTTTGTTTTACTGAGTTTTATTATACCGTGTACTATGAGAAAATTCAACTTAACTAGGATTGCTAAAAAAAAATGCTTTACTTGCAAATGAGTGTACAGTGAATTTAGGAAAGTAGAGAATGTGGTATAAACACATTACTAACTCGCTCCTTTTCTTCTTCTTTTTCTTCAGGCCCTGAGGTTAAAATATTATAAATTTAACTGCTGTTAAACTATACATTGTCTGGTTTAAGCTACTTTCATCTTACTAACTATACTACTTCTGAAGAACATAAGTATATTTTAGGAAAACCATCTTTCCTAACTCTAAAATTATAGATCTTGTTATGACTTGAAAATCTTGGAACATGATTACTGGACATAAATATATGAATTGAATTTAGAGTAAGTAGAGTCACCAGATACATTCTGAACAAATTAAATAGATTATAAATTAGTGGATTAGTTGGGAACAATGGGAAAAAAATCTGATTTTCCTTATCTTTTTTTTTTTTTTTTAATTTTTTAGGTCACAGGGTGCTGGAGCTGGCTCCTACCAGCTCTGGGAATCCATTGCGCATGTTTTCCCACCTCTATTTCATGTATGACAGCTTGAAACTGGCTTGGTAGAATATATACATTACTCACTGGCAAATGCTACAAAACAGGCTGTTCTTCCTGAGAGCAGATTGTTAAACATATGTATTAGCACACCACTGCTTATAGACGTCTTTGAATTTATAAAAAAACTCCTCATGAATTTAGAACATCCTCAACTAATTGGCATTTCTGAATTAAAGTACATCAGGAATATGGCACATGCACACAAAACCTACAGTTACATACGGATCAATTCCCTGTGAAAAAGACCTGAAAACTAGCTGAAGAGCTGATAAAAGGTCCATATTGTGGTCTCCGTAAAAACCCCACCCCAGGACAACCAATCAGGATGGATCTCACAAATAAGCAGCCTATCCCTGAGGAGTAATGGTCCTACTCTACATCAGGCACCCCAACCTTTAGCACCTACACTGCAGAGAAAAGCTCCCAAAACATATGGCTCTGAAAGCCAATGGGGGAAACAAAAACAGTGGGAAAAGAAATGTAGAAGAAAAGGCCCTAAAGAAAATAGAAAAAAAAGGAAAAAAGAGACTGGAAAAACAGAGGTGGTGATGCAGAGTCGGTAGGGCCATCAACAGCTGTCTGAGTAGGCTGAGCATCATCTTTTTTTCCCCTGAGCTATATATATGCTGATACAGAATGGATTTTTCACAATTAAATTACCTGTTGATTTCATAACAATAAATAAACACTGAAATTCCAGCAGACAGAGCTTAAGTTATACTTTAGTTTTTATTTAAATGGCTAAGAGCGGGACGCCTCCCTGGCTCAGTTGTTAAGCGTCTGCCTTCGGTTCAGGTCGTGATCCCAGGGTCCTGGGATCGGGCCCCGCATGGGGCTCCCTGCTTGGCGGGGAGCCTGCTTGCCTGCTTCTCCCTCTCCCTCTGCCTACTGCCCCCCCTTCTCGTGTTCTGTCAAATAAATAAATAAATAAATAAAAAAAATCTTAAAAAAATATAAATGGCTAAGAGGTATTTCAGTCTTTTCACTACTTGTAAAAGTAGTGAAAAGTAAAAAACCAAGCCAACCCAAAAAACAATAACCCAAACAAATCACAAATTTATCCACACACTCTCTCATTAACTGATAAGTTTCTCTTGACATGTGGTAGTATCTACTTAATGCGTCTTCTATCCCTCTGGTCACCTGGTCTAGTGCTAGGTCCTTGAAAGCCCATTCACTGTACCTAACCACCTACCACGGAACTGTGGGACTAATTCTTTCAGAAACTTTTTTTTTTTTTTTTAAAGATTTTATTTATTTGACAGTGAGAGATACAGCGAGAGAGGGAACACAAGCAGCGGGAGTGGGAGAGGGAGAAGCAGGCTTCCCGCGGAGCAGGGAGCCCGATGTGGGGCTCGATCCCAGGACCCCGGATCATGACCTGAGCCGAAGGCAGACGCTTAACGACTGAGCCACCCAGGCGCCCCCTTTCAGAAACTTTGTGACCATTTAAACCTTTTAAGAGAAACCTGGGTCTGAATTTCTAAGATCTTTAACCCTGGACCAAGTCCCTTATTAATCTCATCAAATTCCAGCTGTAAAAAGGGAAGACTCCTATCTGACTTTCTAGGGATAGGTGAAATAATGTATGTGAAATACTCAAATGTCAGGCACGTAGTGATGGCACTGAGGATGCAGGTAACCACCCTCCCTTTCCATCCTTACTCAAGCCCAGACTTAGTATCAAGAATTAGCTACTAAACTGCTTCAGCCGCTCTCTTACCCTCAGCTCCCTGTGGCTGTTGAAGGCCTTCAAGGGCAGCCTGAAGAAAATCATACACCAGCAGAAATTAATGGTCTACACCTGTAACTGGGTCCTCAACCCTGCCAACACCCTGCTGCTAGGCCAGAGAGCTCTCTATTTCCCACAGTGGCTATTTCAATTTGTTTACTTTCTCTACAAATCTATCCCACTGGCTTTCTATTTGTGCTCAGCAGATGACTTGCCCCAACTTCTCAGAGAAACTAGAGGTCACTACCTAGGAAATTCATTTTCTATCACTCTAGGAATGTAACAGCACACATCCCCATTCTCACCACTGCCAATCTCTTTTCTGACCTAGTGAAAAGGAGGAGTCCCTTTTCCTGTTGATGGCTACCTGTGCTCTGCATTCCACCTATATTCCCCTAGTTCTTCCTTCTCAGGAGGCTTGCTCCTCTGGACTCCCATTCACTCCTGCATTGTCTTTCCCTCTTCATATCATCATTTAAATATGTGGGGAAACCTTTCTTTCTTTTTTTTTTTTTTAAAAGATTTTATTTATTTATTTGAGAGAGAGAGAATGAGAAAGAGAGAGCACATGAGAGGGGGGAGGGTCAGAGGGAGAAGCAGACCCCCTGCTGAGCAAGGAGCCCGATATGGGACTCGATCCCAGGACTCCAGGATCATGACCTGAGCCGAAGGCAGTCGCTTAACCAACTGAGCCACCCAGGCGCCCGTGGAGAAACCTTTCTTACATTCCCTTTCTGCTACTGCCCCCTCTCTTCCTTTGCTATAGTCAATCTCCTTCAAAGAATTACCTGTATTTCTTTCTCTATTCACCCTCACTCACTCCTCAACCCACTGCAATTTGCCTTTTGCTCCCACTGATCACATCTACCCTACATTCATCATTTTCTTTCCTAAACTTGTTCTTACTTGTGTTCTCTAGCTCAGTGAATAGGTATCACACATTTCATTGGCTCCACTCAGAAACCAGGCCGTAGCTTAGATTTCACCTTATTTACTCTTCAACCAGTCACCAATACTATTAAGTCCCTTCTCCTAACCAATCCCTTGGATTTCTCCACTTCCTTTCTGTTCCCACTGCCACCACCTTGGTCTAATTATTATCCTTTCTTCTCTATTAATGCAATAGTCTCTAACAGATCTCCTTGCCTTTTGTCTAGTTTCCTTAGCCAATCTGCTGGATCTGATGTTCACCTTACCTCCCTGATTCAAGGCCTTCACAGCTCTCTGTTGTTCTTGGCATGGCACAAAAGCCTTCACAACTGTGCCCGTGTTGACCTTCCCACCTTCATCTCTCACATTTCTGGTTAAGTCATAATGAACTTCTAATTTCTGAATCTGCCATGTCTTCTCCCGCGTTCAGACATATTATTTTATCTATTTAGTACTCATTGGGTTCACATTAACACTGGCTTGATAATTCCTGCCAATATTATGCAGATATGGGTTCTTTTCCTGAGAAATTAAAAACACGAACTATCTGAACAGAGCAGTAGTCTATCTACATTATGTCAGTTAAATTATTCTGTGGAATGACAATAGACTTAAAATATTTCTGAGAATTTTTTTCTAACTTAAATTCACTGTGTA